AAAAATGGTAAACAGTAGGGACCAAATCAGGGATTTTTTTAGTTCAGGGACCAAATCGGGGGTCCGTACAATAGTTCAGGGACCAAAAAGGGGTTTTAACCCTTGAAGAATCATAAACACCCTAAATCCCCATTTTAGCCGGCACACTTTTTCTGTTTCGATCACGAAACAACCACAGCCTGCAAACGGCTTTGCCACCACCAAAGATCCATCTTTTCATCCTTTCCATACTATGCTTTTCTTACTAGAGAATTTCCAATGTGGTAGTGTCGTTTATAACATCAAGAGCTAAATAAAGTAACTTAAGTCCTCAGAAAGATAAAAACCACTCACAATCACCAGACATCAAATGATCAAAAGGAGTTCTACTAAGATATTTTGTGGTTTACTTCACATAATTTATGTTTCCTTTTTCATTAGTATTTACTGAATTGAACTGATTTACAATGAATACGTTATCATTTCTATTGCCTTTTTTCTGCCTCTCTTTGGAAATTTAAAATTTAAAATTTAAAATTAGTAAAATTCACATCAAGCAGCTAATGAAGTTGAAGTGCAATTTATTGATGTAGCTTTAAAGTACAACAATTCGCACACACAAAATAAAACCAAAAAAAAACAAAGAAACGTAGGCAAAAGAATACATAACCAAAGGCTACCACCAACAGATAAACATTCGTCTTCAACAGATCCTCCTCATCATTCTCCTCCTTGACATCCTAATTCGGTAAGTCCTCATCAGCCACTCACATGTTCTTGCAAAAACAATGTTTCCAATCACCACACCAAGAAGGAATCCACATCCACAACCCAACGCCACTGCTTTCCAGCCAAATTCAGCTAGTAATCCAGAATCTTCATTTCCTTTAGAGTTGGAAGATGGTGGGGGTGAGGCCTTTGAATTGTCACATTTCCTTGACAGTGACAATCCACACAACCCTAAATTCCCATCAAATGAGCTATTGTCAAATGTATCAAATTGTTGAACATTCGAGATAAGTCCTGTCAATTAGTTGTAAGATACATTGAAAACTTCAAGGAAATTGAGCTGCGTCAACTGCTTGAGAATGCTTCCTACAAGCTTGTTTTGAGAAAGGTCTAGAGCTTCAACATTTTTGAGATTTCCCAAGGCTGGTGGGTTTGGACCAACAAGGATGTTATTGGAAAGTTTGAGCAGTTGAAGTCCCTTTAAACTCCCTACTACATTTGGAATCTCTCCATCAAATTTGTTGCAAGAAAGATCAATGGTAGAGAAAATCTCCGATACCTTTGCATATTCCATTTTCACTCCTTTGTTTGTTATTGGCATTGAGTAGGGGTATGGACTGGCACCAATTAAGCCATTCAACATATAATTGTCATATGCATGCCAATATTTTGTGTTCTCCTTATCAACATCTACCATCGCACTCCACAAGTTGAAGTATTTTGTTGGTACAAGACCAACAAATCCATTATGAGAAAGGTCAACAATCCGTAGATCAGGAAATAAAGAATTCTGAAACATTAATTGCACCGTAGAACTTGTTGAAATGCAAAATGAGAATCTTCAATCTAGGAAGAGTTCCCAACCAATAAGGGAAGGTATCTCTCATATGATTGTTACCAAGATCAAGAAACTCCAACATTCTACAATTTGCCAATGATCTTGGTACCTTTCCTTGCAAATTATTCTGTCCTAATTTAATCACTTGTAGATTGTTTCCAGCTACCGCAGACAAGACGTTTTGTTTTTTTCAAGAAATAATTTCATCTAAACTACTAATCGAGAATAACACTGATTTAGAAAATAACACTGATTTAGAAAACTCAAACAGCTTCCATGATACATGTTGTAAACCTCTCACCTCAATTACTCATTCTCTGGTCTATGGACTTAATATATCTCACGGTGCTAAGGTTATAGCCAGCATTACAATGCTAGATAGATAAATTTG